TAAATAAGTAATAAATAATTTAAGGAATAATCTAAGAATTTTACAAACTCAAAATAAAATGCAAAGAGAATAAAAGCAAGCGAATTATTCAGCACAGCGCAACATCAGGACGATAAACCCCTAGGCGACATGTCCAGTTTCGGCGATGGTTTACATACCAACTTGAAGATGCATTTGGTGACTCATGAAGGATAAACTCATCACAACTGTTGTTAAAGAGCATGCCAAACCTTGAAATATCCTTTGAAGAACAGTAAAATCTGGCTAATTCGAAATTCAAATGACCGAAATACAGAATTTTCTATCATTAAAATCTGGTTAATTCAAAACTAAAATATCGAACTGCCTGTTAAATAAAAGATCAACATTAGATATAAAAAAAATCTATGCATTCATCACATTAACTTGTGACCACGTGTAAAATAATGTAAAAAAATTAAACAATTAACCAAGCTAACATAAGGTATGCAGTGAGAAGGCTAATCGAATTTGTGCAGAATTCATATCCACTGTCGCAACTGATGAATGATCGAACAGCAATGTTGGCATTCATCGACCGAATATGACCATTCAGCAAAGGAACCTCTTCGGAAGCGATTTTTGCAAGCTTTCGATTAACTTTCGCTGTGAAGCTACCCTGATGCTATGAAGGTGACTTTGTTTCTCACCACTGTGTTTCCCACATTTTGAACGCTATCAAACTCCAGTACTTGCGCGTCTTCCACAGTTTGATCTAAATTCTGTTCTAAGACCCAGCTAAATAGGGAGAAAGAACTGGAAAATCAGTTATTGAGATGCTCGCTTTCATGATACCACAGGAGCTGTTTGTAGCCATATTTGATGAAGCTAGAGTTAAGTCTGTTTTAAAATCCTTAGCAAGACGTTTCTCTTGTTCTGAAGACAAGAATTGCAGCTATGAGAAAACACAATGTTCAGTTACCCATTTTATGCCAACCTATGATGCTTATTTACCTAGCTCAGAAACTAGTAACGAGACTTGAATTTGAATTCTAGCAATTTTCTTGAAAATCTACCATGGTCTTAACAAAAAATCAAAAGTTATCTCACCGAGAATACGAAAGAGTAAGGTAGAGTGATTTTCCAATAGAATTCGAAAATATATTCTTTAATTAATTTTTTAGGGAAAGGAATAAGTGATTTAGAGACCGAGGAAACAGACCATCAGGTCTCATGCAGAGCTAAAATTAGAAAAGAAAGTTTTTAGCCGTATAAATGTTGATCCTCCTGACACTTTTACGATAAGCCCTTCACTTCATGGAATTAACGATGGAGCGCTAATCTCCATTTCATGCCATCAGCCAGAAATGCCTTATTTTAAAAACAGAGTCCACATCAGCTAGTGGAAAGTGTCGTGATAGTATCTTGCTTCTTCCCACAAAGTTACAAAGTTACTCATTTATCAACCTCGAAAGAAAGACGAGTAACATGACCGGGACTTGAACCCGAAACCTCTCGACTCAGAGTTTGACCCAGTACTAAATGAGCAATCTAGGTGAAGAAAAAATGACAACATAAAT